AAGAGACTTTTTCTTATGAGTCTGGCAAATTTTCTTATGAGTCTGACAGATTTCTTCTTGGGCCATTTACCTTCGTTTTCATAATTCAGTACTGGGCACCTTTTGGAAGAGACTAATTCATCTGCTCACGGACTGGGGAGTTTCTCTCCCTTCACCCTAATGTTGTCTTTTCTAGGAGGATGTGTTGAGAAGGGAGCCTTCCATTTTCTGCAGAGGACCTGCAGGGTTTGTCCACAGTCAAGCTCTAAAGAATCTCTGCAAACCAGCTCAGACATAGAGCAGTGGTTAACAAGCATCGGTGTGGACAAGCACCACCTGGAGATGCTCAGTAAGGCAAGGTGTCCGTGGCCCCCTTGAGAGATTCAAATTCAGTACTTCTCAGGAGGGTTTAGGGATCTGTGTACTCAATAAACACTCCCAGATAATTCTGATGACAGTGGTGTGTGGCTCACAAGTTTACAAATGTCACTGTAGAGGCCGGGCAAGGTGGCTCATGCCTATAATCCCAGCACTCTGGGAGACGGAGGCGGGTGGATCACCTGAGGTCAGGAGTTCGAGACCAGCCTGACTAACATGGTGAAACCCCGTCTCTACTAAAAATATAAAAATTAGCCAGGTATGGCGGTGGGTGTCTGTGATCTCAACTATTGGGAGGCTGAGGCAGGAGAATCACTTGAACCCGGGAGGTGGAGGTTGCAGTGAGCCGAGATCGAGCCATTGCCTTCCAGCCTGAGTGACAGAGTAAGACTCTGTATCAAAAAAAAAAAAAAAAAAAAAGTCACTGTAGAATAGTGATTGGCTTTATCTCTGGTGAAGGGTGGGCAATAGAAGTCCCCATGGAAGCTCCATCTAAGTAGGTTAGAGAATGATCCATGTTGAAAATTTATATTTCACCTGGGAGACAGCATGCATGCTGGCATGAACACAGATTCTGGAGACACATAGGCGAGAATCCTGCCCAGGCTACAAACTGGCTATGTTAGTTTGAGGCTACCACTTAACCCTTTCTTAACATCGTGGTGCTGATATGTAAGCTAGGATTTACTTTTCAGTGTTTTTGAGAGACTCAGAAATAAGACAATTGAGTAGTTACCATAGTGCCTAGCATGTAAAAGGCACTCGATAAGTGATGACTTATTTTCATATTATTATCGTTAATATCCCTTTAAATTCCAATGATCAGATTCTACTGAAAAGTGAATTGGAACAAGGAAGACCTTCCAGAATACTAACCCCCTCCTCCCCACCCCACTTTCTGCTTCTCCCTCCTGGTTTTTGTTTCTCTTTAAGTGGTAATGCTGGTTTCAGATGAGATGTTCCCTGCTTTGTATTTTAAATACCGTAGGAAGTCAGATTTTGACAGCTCTCGTCTGCACAAATGTGATGCCGGGAGAAGGGATGTGGAGGAAAGCAGAGGTTCCTTCTCTGCCTGCTTGGAGGTGTGCAAAGTGGCTGATTAGCCAGATATTTTTAAAGTTTCATAGGTGTGAGGCAGCCTCCGCTAATGAGAGTTTTAGGGGATTTCTCAAATCTAAAGTGAAGGGTGCCAAGAGTGGAACATGACCTTGGGGCTTTCCTGTACATGTTAACTAATATTACAAAGAACTTTCAGAAAACGCTGTGAAGTCAACTTCTGCAGGAGAGGGGGGAACAGGTGAGGCTCTGTGGACTGGGAAGGGAGAGTTAATGATGACTGCTATAAATAGATTCCTCCTGAAGACTAGGGCAGAATATCACGGATAGTTTGCTCAGAGCAGAAAATGGAGGGCTCTGAGCCAGAAATCAGGTCAAGGGTCCTCATGACACTGTTTTATATGGGGACAAAAGTTAAGGACAAGCATGCATAGTCACCAAAACACGAGGTTGATGGAGCTCCAGCCCCACTGCCACCACCCCACAGTGCTCCCCACTGATAACCCTTTCAAGGAACCAAATCTGTCAAAAGCGAAGACCTGTTGGGACATCAACTCACACCTACTGGGTGCCAAGCCTTGCACTTGGCAGTTCATATAGGCTAATTCACACCTCCCTTTGAAGTCTATTTTATAGACTGTGTAACCGATGCCTTAAAGAGCCCAAGAAATGTTCCAAAGTTCACACCAAAATGATTATGTTGGTACAAGAGTTAATTGGCCAGGCGTGCTGACTCATACCTATAATCCCAGCACTTTGGGAGGCTGAGGTGGGCGGATCACCTGAGGTCAGGGGTTCGAGACCGATCTGACCAAAATGGAGAAAACTCATTGCTACTAAAAACACAAAATTAGCCAGGTGTGGTGGCACATGCCTGTAATCCCAGCTACTCGGGAGTCTGAGGCAGGAGAATTGCTTGAACCTGGGAGGTGGGAGTTGTGGTGAGCAGAGATCCCACCATTGCCCTCCAACCTAGGTGACAAAGGCGAAACTCTGCCTAAAAAAAAAAAAAAAAAAAGTAGTACTATCTGGAATAGTGAAAAACTGGAAACAAAAGGCCATCGACAAAAAAAAAAAAAAAAAAAAAAAAATAGTAATTGCAGTTTTGTCATTGCTTTTAGAGGCAAAAATCACAACTACTTTCTGCACTAACCTAGTAAGTGGCAGGCAGGATTTGGACTCAGGACTGTCTGTACTCCGAGCAGCTGACTATGATGACACAGATATAAACTCTGAGGCCTACTAGGTCTGCAGAATGTTCCATCTACACTACTTAGGTACAATGATCATTGCAGTGTTTGAATTACTATTTCCCCAATTTCTTCTCACATGGATTTAGGAAAAGGCATTCCCCTTCCTTCTTTCTATTCCCCACATACCCAGTGTTAGTCTCATCTCAGTAGCCATGCCAATTTTGGATGAGGCTAGATGTTTATAAAAACCTTAATTCTACCATCTTGTGGGGGTTCTAAATCTGCAGGTGAGTAACCAACTATATCATGAGGCAACAGGCAATGGTTGACATTGTACTGCAGAAAAGCCAACAAGAAGTCTCATCCGTGGAGTCCTTGATCAGTCCAGAGCAGCCTCCATGCGCCACTGTGCTATGTGCTAGTATTTCAGAGGATATAAGGCACAATCTCTGCCTTGATGCAGTATGTGTCAGCTGCACAGCCTGGTGGAGGTAGGTAGCAGAAGCATGGGTGGATGAGACTGGCTCTTGTGAAAAAAAGACAGATGTCACAGAATCCAAGGAGATTAAAAAGGCAAAGCCCTACAGGGATCAGGTTCCTCTCCATGGGGTGGGGAGAAACGCAGATACTGGCTGGGTGCAGCAGCTCACACCTGTAATCCCATTATTTTGGGAGGCAAAGGCGGGAGGATCACTTGAGGTCAGGGGTTCAAGATCAGCCTGGCCAACATAGTGAAACCCCCATTTCTACTAAAAACACAAAAACTAGCTGTACATGGTGGCGCACACCTATAATATAACTACTCAGGAGATGAAGGCAGGAGAATCACTTGAACCTGAGAGGCAGAGGTTGCAGTGAGCCAAGATGGCGCCACTGCACTCCAGCCTGGGCGACAGAGCAAGATTCCATCTCAGAAACCACCCCCCCCCCGCAAAAAAAAAAAGAAAAAAGAAATGCAGATCCAGACACACTGCATTGCTGTTGAAGATCCACGTAGGAGGTGATACAAGTGGGGATTCATGGAATATGTCATGGAATATATGGCTATGGCAGTAGGATCTTTTCTGCTAGGCAAGCATTAATGGTAGAGCTTGAAGATGAGTGGAAAGTCTTGTTGCTGTGTCAGGAAACTGAGGCCAAAACTAAGGTGAATGGGCTGAACCCTGAAGGAACGGTGGAAAAGAGTGTCGATAAAAGGTGTGATTCAAGGTCCCCTGGGGAACCAGCTGCTCAAGGTGGCACTGAGCCATCTACTTTTTCAGGCCTCCCAGCTGTTGAACTTGAGGGTTTCTATATCTTTGTGGACCCAGTCTATTTTTTGAGACTGAGTCTCTCTTTGTTACCCAGGCTGGAATGCAGTGGTGTGATCTCAGCTCACTGCAACCTCCACCTTCTGAGTTCAAGCAATTTTTCTGCCTCCGCCTCCCAAGTAGTTGGGATTACAGGTGTCCACCAGCAAGCTTGGTCAATTTTTGTATTTTTTTTTTAGTAGAGACCGGGTTTCACCATGTTGCCAGGCTGGTCTGAAATGCCTGACCTCAAGTAATCCACCCGCCTCAGCTCCCAAGAGAGCACTCTGTCTGTATGGGATTACAGACATGAGCCACTGAGCCCGGCCTCTGGACCTAGTCTGAATCCCTGTTGCATCCCTTAGTATTTAGCACGGTGCCTGAAACATAGTGTTATTCAGGCTCCTGCCTCACTCTGAGCCTCCTTCACCATTGTGCATGGGGAGGAAATAG